GGTAACGCTTTCCCATACAGGAGTCTCCTGCAGTGGGTCCCCAGGAAGCCAACCCAGAGAGGAGGTTGGCTCTGGAGGGGGAGGGCTGGCGGGGGGCGGGGAAATGTTAGCGGGAATTCTTGGGATGTGCATCTGGGAAGGGGGCAAGCGTGGGCGGAGGGAGGAATCGAGCTGGGGTGTGTCTCAGCGGACCTTTGGGCACTCTGAAGCTGGGCACTCAGAGGAGTAAAGGGGCAGAGAGGGTCAGAACTTTATACCCCCGTGCAAGTTAGGCATTGGTGGGGCCCCTGGAAGGGGGGGGGGTGTAACGGGGGGCGTGCCCTGCGGGGGGCTGACAACCCAGGCCTGTCTGTGGCAGCATCCCAGCAGGCAGGGAGGGGAGTAAGTCAGGTGTCACTCCCTGAGGTGGGCCCTGACAGCATCAGAGCTTCCATGACAACACTTCATTTCTCTTCTTTCATCTGCAATTTTTTAAAAAATGGAGGCAAATTTCACATAACATAAAATCACAAAATGAACCACTTTAAAGTGTACAGTCCAGTGGCATTTGTTACATTCACAGAGTTGTACAACTACCACCCTTATCAAGTTTCAAAACGTTTTCATCCCCACGAATGAAAACCCCTACCCATTCAGCGGTCACTACCTTTCCCCCTCCCCCCAGCCCTGGGCAAGCACCAGTCTGCTTTCTGTCTCTATGGATTTACCTATCCTGGACATTTCCTATAAATGGAATCATATAGTATGTGAACTTTTGTGTCAGGTTTATTTCACTTAGCCTAAGATTTTCAAGGTTCATCCGTGTCACAGCATATATGTCAGTACTTCATTCCTTTTAATGGGTAACACACCATCGTATGGATATACCATATTTGATTTATCCATTCAGCCATTGATGGACATTTGAATTGTAGCATCTTTTTAAAAAGGAACTTAGGATCAATGTGGAAGTTCTTGATTGTCGAAGATATGACTTCATTTCATTTGGAAGCAGGAAAAGCCCTCCAGGCTCCCTGTGTGGAAGGGCATGAACTGTGTGGAAGGGCATGAATTTACATCCCAGAAGAGGCTTCTGCTGAACAGCAAGTCCAAAGCCTGCCAGCCTTTCTGGGCCTGACAGCGCCCCTGCAAACTTGTCTGCCGCTCTCTTGCCACGCCAGGGTGCTCTCAATCCAGTCTTGCCTTGTTCAGGCCACACTGAGATGTTTCTGGGCGTGCTGCCTGCTCTCACTCCTCTCTGCTCCAGGGAACCAGCTCCAGCCCTTTGCTCAGGTCCCCTTTCTATCTCCCAAGGCTAATGGGGAATCTTTTCCCTCTAAGTCTTTTCCCTCCTTGCCTTGAAGTCAGAGCCACCGTTCTGGCAGACACAGGGGCTGAGCCCACGTCCTCCGCATGGCCCTTCTGCCCCAACTCCGTCCCCACCAGAGGGCAGAAAAGATGCTGCTCTCCATGACTTCCTAGTGCCCGGGTCGCGAAAGATGCTGGCTGGGCGGCCACAACCCTGGCGGCTCATCTGGCCCCTCTGGATTCTGCCTGTCCAGCTTGTGCCCACCCATTTCAGCTCACCTCCTTCCCTGCCCCTCCGTCGTTGTTCCCCTGTTCTCAGGCACCCCTAGGTGCCCCAGCATCTAGCACAGAGTTGCTCAAAAGTCTGTTGACTGAAGAATCTCTTCCTTGGACATCTCTTCCTTTCAACTCCACACCTAAGAGCTTCTCTGGAAAAACCTTTACGGGAAGGATTTGTCAAATTGTCATTTGTTGTTCTAATTTTATATACACGGTCTGTGATCCTCAGAGCAATCTCTGAGGCGGGCAGTACTAGTCCTGTCCTACTGAGGAGGAAGTTCAGGGCAGAGCCTAGCCAGGTGGGAAGCAGGCAGGGCCGGGATCTGCCCCCACTAGTGCAGCTAGGACCAGCCCCGCTCCTCTTCCCAGGCTGCCTGGGCCCATCAGGTCGGTGCTAACCCCACTCTGCCAGGCATGGGGTTAATCGCTGGGGCCCCTAAGGCGCTGTGAAGGGGGGGTGGGGAGAGGGCCTTCAAACGACTTGTAGCGGGGGAGGGGTGTTCTACTGCCAGAGAGCTGTGCTCAGCCTGAGGGAAGAGTCCCGTCTCCATGGGATTTGGGGTGACATATGAACAACTATTTATATTGTAACCTGGGGCAAGCTTCATCCAAAGGACATTTACCAGTTGAAAACCTTTACTGTTAAATCCCCAACCCAGAAATAAAGGCAGCCTCAGCCAAAGGAAGAGGTGGCGTACATCACGTCTCATCTGGACACCCTGCCTGAGGGGTTTATCCTTTTCCCGGCAATAGATGCTGGGACTTGAGGACAGGATCTCATCTTCTCAGTCTCTTTCCCGGCAACAAACACGGGCCTGCGGAGGAAACATCAGATAACGGGAGGAGGAAGGGCAGCGACCTTAGAGCCTGAAGTGGAGGCAACGGTGAGTAAGGGTGTCTCGTGTCTCTTTTTCTTTAGGATGTTGAGCAGTGGGCCACGAGGAACAAACGCAGGAACAGACGCCAAAGCCCAAGCACACGTGATTCGCATTTAGAAGAACTGGAAAGAAGCCGAACCCACCTGCCCGCCTTGCCCTGCGTGCCTGGGCAGGGCCGTCGACCCAGAGCGTCTAGGGTCTGCTGGCTGGGGGCTCCTGGCAGGAAAGAGGTAGAGGGAGCTGCTGGCTTTTATCCCTCTCTTGGGGATGGTCACGTTTCCCCCCCTCCTACTCCCCTTCCTCTCCTCCCCAGAGACCCCAGGACGGGCAAACCCAGCCCCCCAGGTAGACCACCTGGGCGTGGGTGAGGCTCTGTCCTGAGGGAGAGGGAAGCAGCTGGCACTGGCTAAGGTGGCAGGCGGTGGCCCCTCATGCTGTGACCGGGAAGCCTGCAGGAGGGGGCCAGGGAGGCCCATGTCCCAAACAGCCTATCACCAGGTCATTTTGTTTCACTGTTCCTAATGCGAAGTCGTAAAGCGAAGGCGGGTGACAGTTCCCAGGTGAGGAGAAAGTTCTGGAGTCCTGGACATGGTAAGTAGGGTGGGCCTGAATGGGACACTGAGGTGGGTGGTGTGAAGATTAAGGCTCTGAGCCAAACAGGAGAGAAAGAGACAGAAGCATCCCAGGGCTCAGGAGGCAGGAGAGGTCCCCTAGCCAATGGAGAAAGCACCGTGGTCTCCAGCTGGGTGAGACTCAGCCCTTCTGCTCCCCAGGCCTTTTGTCTCTCTGTGCCTTGGAGGTCCAGGGTGGGCCTGGGGCTGGGTGGAGGTGCTGACGGTCCCTGAGTCAGGAGGTGAACCCCACCTTGGCCACTTGCCCTCAGATGTTTTGAAGAGGCAAATGGAGGTGTCAGGCATGAGCGAGAACTCTGTGTGTAGAATGAGGCGCTGAGGGAGCTGCTGGTGAGCCCTGAGCCTACACAAGGATAGGGGCCCCACAGAAGTCCCTGCAGCTGTAAATGGGTCCGAGTCATTCCAGCAGAATGCCCTGTGGGTATGGGAAAGAGAGAGACTACTCTGCAGAGAGCGGGACGCTTCCAGGCAGTCACCACTGCAGCGGGATCGCTCACACGCGCTCCACTCATCCCTGCTGGCCTGCAGAAGGGCACCGAGCCCCGCTTCTTCTCTGTAAGAGGAGTGTTACAGGCCAAGTCCGACCAGAGGTGGTTCTTTTCATTCTTTTCCCATTCTGTCGAGAGGGAAGGGGATTCTTTCTGGCACAGGAAAAAAAGGGGTGGGGTGTGGGGAGGAGGAAGGAGAAGGGAAGCCGGTCTCCCCAGCACAGCTTGGGAAGAGGCCAGGGCGGCAGCCCCCGCCCAGCCGCCCCCAGGATAGCAGATGGTCTGGGCTCTCCCCCCGAAGACTGCAGGACAGCCCACCCTCCTCTGCGCTTTCCGCGTCTTCCTCAGATGCTTGTGGATCTGGGCGCTCGGTCTGATAGCCCTGCTTATTGTTTTCTTTCGGATACTCCTCTTAGCTTCTACCTCAGCCGAAGGCTGAAGATTAGGCCAATTTCTTTGTCTCTCAGACTTATGTAAACGAGAAGCCTCAGATCCTAGGCAGAGGCAAAGAGCTCCCACTCTACTTCCTTCTTAGGGGTCCAATGACATAAAATCGTTGCCATGGGGATTCCTTCATTTGTAGAAGGAACTGTTTTTAGAAAAAAAGAATGATTCACCAGTTCTTTAAGGAGGAACAGAGTCAGTCCTTGGGGAGATATGATGTAATAGGGTTTAGAAGAGGAATGATGGCCAGCTGCAGTTTGTGTACTTTTCTCTTCCTTTTTAGATCCTTGTGTAGCCTCAGGGCTCACCAGCAGCTCCCTCAGAGCCTCATTCTACACACAGAGTTCTCGCTCATGCCTGACACCTCCATTTGCCTCTTCAAAACATCTGAGGGCAGGTGTTAAAAATAATGTTAGAAAGGCCCAGCTAGGCTCACCAGGGAATTATTGTCAGGTCTTGGAAAGTGTCTTCATGGCCATTTCTGGGCCTAGCTGCTGGACAAAGTTATCAGCTTGAGGGTGCCACAGGGCCTTTGAACATTCATCTCCATTATGACTGGCCTAGCAGAGGACTTTCCCTATATTGACTCTCTCTGGGAAGTCTGTAGTTAACAGTGCAAGCTAGAAACTAAAGGTCCACAAGAGGGGAGGGAATGACCCAAGGCACCACTGTATGTAAGTGGCAGAGTTAGTCCCAGAAGCCAGGCCGTCTAAGCAGCTATGGCCAACAGAGCAGGAGCTAGGAGGAATACTTTTTTTAAAAAATAAATTTATTTATTTATTTATTTTTGGCTGTGTTGGGTCTTCGTTGCTGTGCTCAGGCTTTCTCTAGTTGTGGTGAGCGGCGGCTACTCTTCATTGCGGTGCGCAAGCTTCTCATTGCGGTGTCTTCTCTTGTTGCAAAGCACAGGCTCTAGGCGCATAGGCTTCAGTAGTTGTGGCTCGCGGGTTCTAGAGTGCAGGCTCAGGAGTTGTGGCTCGCGGGCTTAGTTGCTCCACAGCATGTGGGATCTTCCCAGACCAGGGATCGAACCCGCATCCCCTGCATTAGCAGGCATATTCTTAACCACTGCACCAACAGGGAAGTCCCTAGCCAGGAGGAATACTTTTATGAACAAATATATTGTGTAATAATTGGCAAAGAAAAGGAGGTTGATCGGTGGAAGCAATGTAAAAAATTAATAAGGGGCTGAAATTAGACTGATGTAATTGAGATGATCCTTCTTTTCCTTTTGAAAAAGCACTGCACTGGGAGTCAGCTGTGTGCCCTTGAGGAAATTACTTTCCCTCTCTGGGCCTCAACTTTCTCACCTCCTAAATGAAAGGGCTGGGCTTGAATGAGCTCAGATCCCTTCCCACAATGACATGCTTGTATACCGCCCTCATACTGGAAATACTAGTGAAGGCCTCTCCGTGCTAAACTTAGTGTTCAAGGATTCCCCGTGGCCCACAGCATCAAGCCCACACCCCTTAGCCTGGAGCTCAAGGCTCTGTGTGATCTGGTCACAACTCATCTTTCCAGTCGTATCTCCCATTTGCTACTTCCTATGGATTACCTGTTCCACAGCCTTGTTCGCACCCGCTATGCAGAGCAGCCTCCTCCTGCCCCAGTGCTCTGGCCAGAAAAAGTCCAGTGAGTCCTTTATCTCTCAATAAGATGCCTCCTCCTTCAGTTTGGGGTTGTGATCTTCCCAGTTGTGTATCCACCATCACTGCCTTCACCTGAATGCGTGTTGTAATTATCTAGTCATTCAATCCACCGAATATTCCTGAATGATTAGCGTGTGCTGTGACAATGACAAATTCGGACATAGTTCTGCCTTCATAGTGGGGAAAGGGAGACATTAATCAAACAGTCATGCTTAGGAATGTATAACTGCAAACAGAGAAGTGTGAAGAAGGAAGAGAGAAGAGTTCCCCGAGAGCTTGTGAGAGTGGGATGCGGAAGGAGATGCTCCCAGGAGGGGAAGACCATGTGCTGATTCTGGCCAAAGGGAGTGTGGAGGATGAGAAGGGCTGGAGGAAGGCCAGGGTGAGGGGAGGATTTCCAGAGACATCGGGGGTGGCAGTGGTGAGCCTGGATGAGTGGGCTGTGGAAGGTGTGTTGTCTTGATCAGAGGAGCCACCTGGGAAGCCTGTGAGGGGTTGTAAAGAGGGGAGTGAGAGATCAAATAGGTGTTTCAGAACAATTATCTTGGCTGCTATGCAGAGTGGCCTGGAGTGGTGATTTGTAGCCCCAGATGTGTAAGAAGCATGGAGAAGTTTGAGAAGGACCCATACCCTGGTCTCACCTCCAGACATCCCCATTCGGTTAGTCTGGAGGGAGGCAAAAAGGGAAGAAGGCGCCCAGTAGGAGACCCTGCAGTGGTCCAGCCAGGAGAGGAGAGCACGTTGGGCAGGGATGAGCTCCAGGGATGTTTAGGAGATGAAATGGACAGGATTCGGCAATTAGTTCCCCTGGAGATGAAGGAGAAGGAGGTGTTAAGGTGGAGCCCCGAGTTCCTGGCTTATGCAAGCAGACGGAAATGGTGACATTCTGAGATGAGAACATGGGCAACGATGGGGTGTTGGGGGGCAGGGATCGGATGCGGGCACAGGCCCCCACCCCAGACCAGGCCGGATTCTCCCGGCACTCCGCGCCTGCGTGGGCCTGGAGGCTGTGCTTCCGCTGGGCCCCCGCAGCCCCTTGGAGTGCTCGCCCGCAGAGGCCAGGGTGGGCCGGAGGGCTGCTTGGAGGTGGGGATGCGAGGGGCCCAGAGGCAGGGAGCACCCAGGCCCGCAGAGCCTAGGCGCCGGCCCCAGGCGGCCCAGCATATGGTAAAGGCAGAAAACAGCACATTTGGCAAGAGTACGGGCACTAAAAGTGATCCCCAGGCCGACGGCGGGTGCCAGCGGGGCTTTTACCTGCCTCTGGATCAGGGGGCTCCTTCGGGCAGCAAAGTGAAGACTCGCTGACACAGTGAGCTGCCTGTAACCAGCTCCCCCGGGATGGTGGGAGCTGGTGGGCGCCTTCCCTTGTATCAGACAGACATACCCGGCCCTCAGCTCACTTGGATTCCCTGGGCAGGGATGTCAGAGCAGCCCAAAAATCTGTCCACATTCGTTTCCTCCAGCCACCTGATGCAGGAGAGAAAGAACACACTTGGAGTTGGGGGAACTGGGGGCTAGACCTGTTTTGGTGGGTGGCAGATTTTGTGACCTTGAGGAAGTCACTTATCTCATCAGATCCTGGGAGGGGTAGAAGCAGGAGGAAGACCCAGACCTGCCCTCTCTGGAGGCTCACCGGCTCTCTGGTGGTGTGACAGACCCTGGGCAAAGAGCAAGCCATACCACAGCCCGGCCAAGTTTCCTGGAGGAGGTGAGGGAGGGGAGGAAGAGCAGAAGGAAGGTTGGGGGGAGGGGAGAGGAGCAGGGGGAGGAGGGGAAAATCTGTCTCACCACCACCCGAGGGCTCTGCCCCAGCTTCTCTCTGTGTTTATCTATGTGCAGGAGGAATTGCAATGTGTGGTTGTACCACAGTGACTCTCTTTTGTCTTTTTTTTTTTTTTTTTTTTTTTTTGTGGTACGCAGCCCTTTCTTTGTTGTGGCTTCTCCCGTTGTGGAGCACAGGCTCCGGACACGCAGGCTCAGCGGCCATGGCTCACGGGCCCAGCCGCTCTGCGGCACGTGGGATCCTCCTGGACCGGGGCACGAACCCGTGTCCCCCGCATCGGCAGGCGGACTCTCAACCACTGCGCCACCAGAGAAGCCCTCTCTTTTGTCTTTTTTACTTTTTTTAATTGAAGTAAAGTTGGATTTACCATGCTGTGTTAGTTTCTGGTGTGCAGCAGAGTGACTCAGTTATATACCTATATATGCACTCTTTTTCATATTCTTCTCCATTATGGTTTGTCACAGGATACTGACTATAGCTGCCCGTGCTCTACAGTGGGACCTTGTTGTTTATCTTATATAGAGTGGTTTGCATCTGCTAAAGTGAAACTCCAGGATTGAACTCCAAGTTGTTTTTGTTTTTCGTTTTAACCCCTGTATGACCACCTGTAATGGCTACCCTAATACATACATTTCTTGTCTTTGTTTATAAGCGCTTTCCCCCAAACATGTTTTCTTACGTCCCTCGGTCCCTTTACCTATGCCTGTAACCCAAGGTAACAGTTATTAAAAACTTGCCCTTTTCTCCTTGTGCATCCAAACAAATTCACACGTAAAGGGTGTCACTCCTTTTCTGTCACTGTTTGTTTTACAAAAGTTGCCTCACACAGTGTACAATTCTCTGCCACTTGTTTTGCTCCCTGAACAATAAATACACCAAGAAAATCCCTCTGCATGAGCAGATAGAGATCTTATTCTTTTCAATGGTGTGTAACACCCCACGGTAGGGACTTACGAGAGCACTCCTACACAGCCAAGAGATTTTTTTCCCTATGGTAGACTAGAAAGAGATTTTTCATTTTTTTTAATGCTGGAGACTTTAGTGAGGTCCTTTTACCTGGCAGGAAGCTAAACTACCTGTATGGTTCGAGAGCCAAGTCTGGCACCCACTATGTGCGGGTTTGTTGGTAAAGACAAGGAATGGTCTTTGCTCTGAGGAGTTCACTCTGCTGCCAGAGAGACAAGAGCCCTGTCCCTTAGACAGCGGTCCCCGAAACTCATGCCTGCAGGGGTGAAGGCTTGAGTTAACCCCCTGGGAGAGGGCAACCTTGATGGAGAAAATTCTAGAGGGACAGTGCAGAGTCAAAAGTTATTTGATGTTGGGAATTCCCTGGCGATCCAGTGGTCAGGACTCGGTGCTTTCACTGCCGAGGGCCTGGGTTCAATCCCTGATCGGGGAACTAAGATCCACAAGACACGTGGCAAGGCCAAAAAAAAAAATTATCTGATGTGCCATGTGGCCAAGACATGAAGCTAAGGAGGAGGAAGTAGGATTACTCAGTGCGTTGGCTGAACAGCTCCCTCCTTCCCGCTGACTTTGCCCCAAGAATTTCAACAGCTACAGGTTATTTCCAGATGGAGGTTGAGCCATTCGTCTCTTCATTTTCTAACTGCAGAACGGATAAAAGTCTGAGATTTCAATCAAAAGCTTAAGAAAATAATAATCCTTAGTTGCCCTAATTCTTTTCTGAAAATACCTCACACTGACAGAAATTGTCTTTAAGCCCCCTTTCACTTCTGTCGTGCTTTAAATTTCTTCCTTAATTAAAAAGAATTGTTTGCCTGATGTGGGCTCCAAAGGGCTTATTTATTTTAACTGACCTTCTTGTTTCTTTCTCTTATCCTAACCAGTGACTTGATAACTCTAAAACTCTCTATTCTCCTGTCTTAAAATGCCCATTGTCTCTGTCACCAGGGGAACATAATAATGAATTTTATAATCAGCCCATTTCTATTCCCACAGCATGGAAGCCGTGTCAGTAACAAGCAGAAAGCACAGCGCCCCTAAGTTCAACTGCCCTAAATTGGCTGCTCGTCCCTAGCAGAGATTTTAGAATGCTCTTCTCAGAATAATATTTCAGCATCACTCAACCTTACCAACATTTGATGACAACATTATCTGAAAATTAATGATGAATTAATGTCTGCATTCCAAAGTACCTGGCTGAATTCACTGTGTAAAAAAAAAAAAAGGCAGGGGGCAAGGCAGCCAAACAGATATGTCATTGAAACCCAGCAACTGTTGAATGATAGAATTTTTTTCCCGTCCCTTAAGGCGATCAAGTGTAGTACCCAGTCTGAGAATGCCTCAGAAGCACGCCATCCAGCGACTTGGATCCTTGAGCTCAGAGGATTGTGATAGAATTAAGTCTGACTCAACAAATGAGGTCACTGGGAAGAAGCACTGGTGTTAAATTTCCCATTAACACTGGTGGCTAATTTACTAAACAGTCATCTGCTTGTGGTTCCAGAAGACCGCCCGGTAAATTCCAGACACCTCCTGGGTTGCAGATAGCTTGCGCATGAAGTCACCATACCCTGGTCAGTGTGACTTTTGGTGACCATCCCTCAGTACACCGGAAAGTATTTCCAGAGACTGGATGCCATTTTGGAGTGTAAAGCCTTGGAAATCTGTGGAAGGTGACTTCTTATGTTGAATCTAGAAATGGGATGGCAGGAAGGGGTACTCTGACTCTTGGTGCCAGGAGACTCAAGTTCGGGTGCTCGTTCTGCCACAGGTGTTAACTGCAATGCAAGTCACTGAATGGCTCATCTTAGGGGTGTTTCTAGATTAGATATTGTACTGTATCAAGAAGTGTAGAAAAGTAATGAATTGTCATTCACCAGTTGTCAGGCATAAAGGACGCCTTTCCCCCTACTTCTCTGAGCCCTACTTTCCTTATCTGTCAAGTGGAAACACTAATAACTTGCTTATCCACCCCTCACCTCCCAGGACTGTTAACATGAGTAAAAAGAGAAAAGAGATTTGAAATTTCCATGCAAAGTTCAAAGTTCTACATAATCAGAAAGCACAAACGGAAATCATTTCTAGATTCTGATGAAGCTTTTCAGTCATTTCCAATCACAGGTTTAGGAAATTCATCCACCACGCTCTTGCTGTTGAGCCTGTGCTGGTTCAAGCATCACAGCCCAGATGGCCAGTGATCTCTTCTCTGGCCAGCTCCTTAGGGGTCAGCCTGGGTTTCTTGCTGGTTTGTCACTGCCTCACACTCTCTGCCCCTGACACTGCGGGGGTGGGGGCAAGAAACAGGGATGAACCTCTCGGCTTCCTCCTGAAACTGCCCTCCTCACAGTTTCTCAGCTGTGTCTTCCAGAGTCTTCTTTTTGAATTCTTGACTGGGCAATCACTTTCCTTAAACCAAGTCAGGTCTCCTGAATTCCTAGGGGCAGCAGAGCATAGGGGGAGCTTGTGGGACTTTGGGCTACAGATCATTAATTAATTATCCATGGATCTTCTGAGCCTTGGTTTTCTCATTTGTAAAATGGAGGTAATAAATCTACTTCACTGGGAATCTCTGGGGATGAGATAAAAGAACATGGGTGGAAGGACCTGGCATACTGTAGGAGCTAAAAGTGCATCCTTTTCCTTTTTCCTTCTCTCCCTCTTCCTTCCCCACTCAGCTGCCTGCAAGGCACTGTCTCCTCTCTCCTGATTAGGTGTTCCATTTACTCTCTTTGCAAAGGAGCTGCAGAAAGCAGATTTAGCCACATGTCTGTGCATTTTCCTGGAGAAGCCTTCACAAGACCACTTCTCCTTTTCCATACTGGCCTTCTCTGAGTTGTTCTAGAGTCTTCACATTTGGGAAAACATCTGGATGTCACCTAATTTTCATGTTGCATCTGGATGTGTCTCAGAGCCATACTGTAACTGCACACTGAGAATCATGTCATTTGTTCTGGAGCAAGCCTAGAGGCGGCTTTGTGTGGGTCTACACGTAGGTGCCGGAGGAAGGAAGAGGGAACTCGGAGGGCCTGCAGAGATGAGGAGTCAGGTAGGATCCTATTAAGTGGGTTTCACTGAAGGCTGTTGACACACTTCTCATAAACTCCCCGCTTCCTGCTGTTTTCACAGGAGAAAACACGATGAGGGCTGGAAGTCAAATTAAGCAATTAAGCAAAATTCCCCAAGTCACTTGAGCTATTCCTCTGAATCCAGGGTCCTGGGATAACACAGCCTGTCAGCGACCCCTGTTTCGTACCTGTCTTCCATCTCCATTCTGCAGAGGGACCAGAGAGATGATTCCAGAAGTGCTGCCATTGCTGGTATGTCCGTCCCTCCCGCTCTGGCGCTGGTGCCTCAGCTTCTACCCTCCACTGTCTCTTCATCCACCTTTCTCCTCTTTATTTTTGTCCACCTTTATGGCTGTCAGGGGGCTCTTGGATCATCTTTGTCATCATAAACTCATGGGTTCCAAAGTGTGCTCTGTGGAACACTTACTTGAGAACGTGCCTCAAAAAAAAATGGATCCCTGACCAACTGCCAGGAATGGCGCACACTGTGTCCCTCGTGGAGATTCTCAGTTCGTGTCACCTATTGAGAGCTCTGAAAAATTCCATAATAAATGGTTTAACATTGTTTAACTAGTTTTTCCCAAAACCTTTTTGATCATGGACCCTTTCCTATGAACTCCCAAGGAACACCTATCAGCAGGGTTTGGTG